ATTACCATCTGAGGAACACAGGAAACAAACAGATCTAGGAGAGTGAGCTTTTGCTTCTTTTGTCAAAGGTAAATGTGGATAAAGGGGGAAAAAAGTGGAATGAAAAGCACTCAGTTGGAGAAAATATCTGTGTGACTAGTATGTTGGTGAAATTATTCCACAGCAGTACAACTTAAGTGACTTAATCCAAAATACGTCCCTTTACTTATTTATAAAGGGGACAACCAACTAAGCTACTGATTAATGGCCAGCTCTCACTCAAAGGAATATAAAAAACTTTGTATCCTCAATACTTTCCTTTTGTAGCTTTTACTTTAGCCCTGGGAAAAATATTAAAAATGTATTATCTTGGTTATGACCATGCTAGAATTTACGTTCAGTCTGGGACTCTTGAGGATTTTCTAAATGAAATGTTACTTTGGAGTTTATTGTTTATTCCACATGATGAATGGGGTTTTGGCTATGAGAATAAAACCGTCCCTCTGTCTACCATTTCCAAATTTCTCACTAACTGAAATTCCTAGGAAGATCTCTGTTCTGTGTTTTCTTAGTCTTATTTATTTGGAGTCAGTTTCTGCTGTCCTGAGGTGTGACCCTTTGACCTGCACTCTGATTTTCACTCTATCTAGTAAAAAAAGAACTAAAATAAAAATAAAAAACCCACTTTTAGTCCATCACCCAAGACCTGGTGTTTGGAAGCATTTCCATTCTGGAGATAAGCCAGTGATCTCCTTTTCTGTCAGGCAAAGATATATGAACTACTAGGCTACAGAATAGTCCCTCTCACAAGCCTCTCCCTCTTGTTTCTCTCTTTGCAAGCCTCCGCAAACTTGCCTTGGAAGATGGAAACGCACTGTGTGTGGTTTGGAAACCGAAAGCCCAGTTTTGGCTCAAGCTGTGCGTCATGCTCAGCACAAAAGAACATTTTAAACCTGTTCCGGTTACAAAAAGCTCTAAGGACAAAAGGTTGGGAATTACAAAAGAAAAATCAGCAGGGTGTCATTCTTAACAAGTCTGTGAATATTTTCTTTTACAGAGAAAATGATAGTTTTGCTTGTACATATCCATCCAACATCATTACTAAGGGAAAGTAAACTCCTGGGATGCAGACTGTGTCCCCTAGATCCGTGCGCAGAGGGCACTGTTTAGATCTCCTTCCACCCATGGAGGAAAGGTGAGCTCCCTCTATAGCACCATTCCCACCCCCACCTCCTGGGACTCTGCAAGAGACCATTGGTGTGGCGCTTAGGCAGGAGGAAGTCAGGGAATGGATAGATGACATTATCTGCCATCAGTCCTATGGTAATTGCCAGGCTGTATTACTTTTTCCCATCAAGACCCTCTGCACAATCTACCTATCTGTACTTATATGCCTCCGTTACCATAATATCTGAGCAACTCACAATCTTTAATGTCTTTATCCTCACATACCCCTGTGAGGTAGGGAAGTGCTATTATCCCCATTTTACAGATGGGGGGACTGAGGCACAAAGTCTTACGGTATGCCTACACAGCAATTATACATCTGCTGCTGGCCCATGCCAGTCACCTCAGGCTCAGGCTGCAGGGCTGGTTCATGGTTGTGTTTTTGGGCTCAGGATGGGAAATAGGAGAGGTCCCAGAGCTCGGGCTCCAACCTGAGCCTGGAAATCTACACAGCAATGAAACAGCCCTGCTGTCTGCGCAAGCCCCATGAGCCCAAGTTGGTTGGCACAGGCCTGCCTGGCGTTTTTCTTTAAGGGTATGTCTACACACAGAGACTTGCCCCAGCATCATGCAGGGAATCACAGCCAGGAACTGAACCCAGTCTCTCAAATCCACAGCCAGCGCCATAACCACTGGAGCAGGGAACCCATTTTCAGGGGGATTCCAGGGCTAGCTACAGCCAGGGGATGTGTGATGATTCATAGATTCATAGATTCATAGATTCTAGGACTGGAAGGGACCTCGAGAGGTCATCGAGTCCAGTCCCCTGCCCGCATGGCAGGACCAAATACTGTCTAGACCATCCCTGATAGACATTTATCTAACCTACTCTTAAATATCTCCAGAGATGGAGATTCCACAACCTCCCTAGGCAATTTATTCCAGTGTTTAACCACCCTGACAGTTAGGAACTTTTTCCTAATGTCCAACCTAGACCTCCCTTGCTGCAGTTTAAGCCCATTGCTTCTTGTTCTATCCTCAGAGGCTAAGGTGAACAAGTTTTCTCCCTCCTCCTTATGACACCCTTTTAGATACCTGAAAACTGCTATCATGTCCCCTCTCAGTCTTCTCTTTTCCAAACTAAACAAACCCAATTCTTTCAGCCTTGCTTCATAGGTCATGTTCTCTTAGACCTTTAATGGCCCAGCTTCATTGAAGCGTTGCTGCCAGTGAGCAAATCAAAGGCCCTAAACATTTTATTTTTCATAGAATTCTTTCAGTTTTTACAAGGGGCCAAAATTCTGAAGCCCTGACTGAGGAAAACCTCTCATTTGCTGCAGAGGGAGTTTTGTCTGTGTAGAGAACTCACAATTTGGCCCAAGGTAAAGTCAGTTCTGGGCCCAACTGAACTGTCATCCTTCTCAATGGGAAGATCCCGGCGAAGCTAGCTCAGCCCTTTTATAAAGGGAGATTGGCAAGGTTTTACATCCAGTTGACTGTTTCTTCCTGCGACAGATGGCTGCGTCTAAAACCAACATTGTAAGTGGTGAAAGATTTACAGCAAATCTACAGGTTGGGCTTATAGTAGTGGTTAGTGCCCAGATACCACAGCGAGGACAGTGATAGAGATGCCTAGAGATAGTGTTACAGTCTATCACCTGGCAAGCAGAAACTACTGTTATACGATTAGATTCCTGCTTTTTATCCACTTCCCTGTTCATTAGTGTAGGATTTGGGACAGCACTACACCTGCTCTATGTTTTGTCTCAAATAGAACGGCACTGGGAGAGAATAAACTAGCATGACCCTGGACATTTCTGTTGATTTTTCCAGGAGCTCTCTTGCAAGCTAAATTTGCGTAAATGTGAAACAAGAGCAGCTCGGTGCTGCCAGGAGACAAAGGCACTGATGTATTTGTATACAATCCAGTTCAATCCAGCGAGGAATTCACTCTTTAACACAGGGTGACTCTGATGAGGGATTTTCAAAGCAAAAAAGGTGTATTATATATAAAATCAATACCAAAATTCCATACCTTCGTTAAGTGTTAAACTGAAGTTCAGCAATAAATATCCACATTAGAAACTCTTAGACCTCTAACTTTGTGATAACTTTAATCATATCAAAGTTCAGAAGATATCTGACCTACTACAAATCTATCACATATTTGCTCCTTCAATACCTAGTATCTCTCAGGGACTTATCTGGCCCCTGTCATTGTATCCGAGCGCCTCCCACTCTATCGTATTTATGCTTACAACACCCCTGCGAGGTAGGGCAGTTCTACCATTCCCATTGCACAGATGGGGAACTGAGACAGAGCCTAAATGACTTGCCCAAGGCCACACGAAAGAGTCTATGGCAGTGCAGGGATGTGGCCCCAGGTCTCCCAAGTCTAAGCTTAACCACAGAGCTATCCTTCCTCCCATGTCTGATCCAAACATTAATTTTCTATGTGTAGGTGCAGACTTGGACATCAGGACGTATCTGGCCTGTAATCATATCACCTTGGGTTCTGATCACATCAGGTTTCACAAACTAAGCTGAACCGGACCTGGCCAGTACTTGGTTATGAAAGCTCTGGAGAATGTCATGGTGCTTCAGGAAGTGGTTGGTGGGGATAGTGAGATGTTACTTTTCCTTCTGTGTCAGTATGGACAATTCCCCAGCATGGCTTTAGAAGGTGCTGTGCTGCTGGAAGCAATGGCTTTCGGATAACACTTTTTGTAAGCATACGATTGCTATCATGGTTGCACTCAGGTCACATTATCAAGGTTTTCTTTGCAATATGATGGCTAGGCTTACTTTAAAAAAAAGAAACCGATTCCAAAGATTCTCAGGGGTTGTCAACCTGGCCCAATTTGAGCCGTGAGGTCTATTTTCTCCCAGTGCAATGGTTTAAGCAATAATAATCATCTAGAAGGTCAGTTTACCCCCTAACAAGCCATATCATAGATACCAGTTTGACAGACGTAACAACTATGACTCAAAGCCTGGAAATGGTTATTGGGAGAGCCTGGACAGGTACTTTCAGCACATCATTTAAAAACAATATTACTTTCATGACTGTTGGCAGGTGATGTCATGGAAAAACATGGATTGCTTTAAAAAAAAGTCTGCAAAGTGTCCTTCGGGGCTCAGACTCTGCTCCTCTTTCTCCACTACACATCTCGGGAGATACTACGTTCTAGTATTGCGTGTGTCATCTCTGTGCTGAAAACTTACTACCCCTCACCTGTCCCCTTATGTGTATCTATGATGGTCTGACCTATCATCCGAGATGTCCCACCACTGACGCAAGCCCAACATGGCAAAAAACAGCTTAGGAAGAACAAGGAGGAGCCTCTTTCCTCTTCTTCACTTGACTTGAAATCACTACTTTCTTACCCAGGCTCACAACCTTGGAGTCATTCTCCCAGTACCTCCAGACTGGCACCAGGTCCTGCCATTTCTTTCTCTACAGCATATTCAAACTTCATTCTGTCCCCACTGCCCTTTTAGCTAAAACGGCCACTGCTCAACCCGCCAGGAGCAAACCCACAAAAAACAAACAAATGTGGAAGTACAACTCAAGAAAGTAAACGCTGGTGATCAGGTAATGAGATTTCAGTTTCAGGATTCCACAGGGTGATTCTAAACAAACAAAGAAGAAAAAGGACTTTTAAAATGATGAAAAGTACCTTTAAACAGCACCCATTCAACTGACTGACTGGATTATTTTGAGAGAGAGAGAGAGAGCGCAACACACATAAATAGACAGGGAAAACAGAATATTACAGACAACGCCACCTTAAAATGTGTGTAGCTCTTTAAAAAAACCCAACAAAACGTAATAGTTCTTTTTGTTGTCTTACCTACTCAATGCGGCATTTTCCAAGAGATGCAATTCTTTATTTTATTCTGTGGTGCATTTTAAATGGCTTTGCTTTTGTTCAGCATAGCTGCTCTCTTGCTACTTTCTAGCATTGCATGTTGCTTTCCTGTTTCAGACTGGTGGCAGCCAGTCTAAATTAAAGTCATATGCCTTTCTTGTTACAGCCAGTAAAGGATTAGGGGCGTGTGTGGGTATGTGTTCTTCATTCCCATTAGACAGTTCCTAGGCATTTCAGACATCTAAAGGTTGTTGTCATTAAGTCTGCACTTACTTTGGATCATTATGGCACAATACACTCATTGTTACAATGATTTGTTTTATCGTTGTGCTAAGTGCTGTGAAGACATAATAGACATGGGGTAGGCAAACTATGGCACGCGTGCCAAAAGCAGCACGCGAGCTGATTTTCAGTGGCACTCACACTGCCCGGGTCCTGGCCACCGGTCCGGGGGGGCTCTGCATTTTAATTTAATTTTAAATGAAGCTTCTTAAACATTTTTAAAACCTTATTTACTTTACATACAACAATAGTTTAGTTCTATATTATAGACTTATAGAAAGAGCCCTTCTAAAAATGTTAAAATGTATTATGGGCACGCAAAACCTTAGAGTGAATAAATGAAGACTCGGCACACCACTTCTGAAAGGTTGCCGACCCCTGTAATAGACAGTGCCTGCCCAGAAGAGCATAAAATCTTAAGTCATAACTGTGCAACTGACTCAACGTAGGCAGATTCCCACACCCACATGGAGCCCCACAGACTTAGGGGTCCCCCCACCTAGAGTCTGTTCTGGGATCAGGCCTAAGTTTGACATAATGCACAACACGCTGGAGAAAAAAAAATGAACAGGGAATGGAGGGGCCACTGGATGGGGTAACTGAACATGAACATTTTTTTTTGCACAGACCAGTTCGGTGTACAATTTGAGGTAAAGAGAGGGTTGTTAATGGTGCTAGATAACTGCCCAAAGACTATTCCATCAATATCGTACCAGCACATGGAAGATTATCCCCACAGAGAATCGGAAAGGTTGTATGTTACTGGTGCAGAGTTGCCTCACATTACAGTATCTAACTCCGGCTACTTTTTCACAAGGGACAGTAAAGCACATTTTCTGCAACTATCTTGGATCATTTCAGGCTCCAAATGCACAGGCTCGGCCCGATAAATGGCCGTGGGTATCAACTATTTACCAACACCAGAGAACAAAAATAGCTTTCATTTGCTGCATTCCCGGCTGACCATGCAATGACTTGTGGTTGTTGTAGGCCACCACAGAGCTCCCACATAAAGAGCTTTAATGTGCTCTAAGTTCCAAAGCCAAACAAAAGGCTGCTCTGTGCTTTGGAGACCTTACGGGCTGGTGTCACGCTGGTCTTGTGTCAATGTTGCTTCTGGGGGGACCTTAGCTACAGTGGGAAAGTGTTTGAAGCGGCCCCCTTGCCAGTCTGAAGAGTGAAAACATTTTCAAGGGATGACCTTGTCTGCAGCTGGCCCACCGCCCACCGTGCCAGCCCTTGTGAAATGTTCCCCTACAGTCTCTGGCCACTGGATCGGTGAGGAAAAAAAATAAAGTTCCTGGTGTCAGAAGATACTGTAACTGGTGGAACTCGACCAGCTCTTGACACGGATGTCGTAGGATGCATGATGCGATGGCTCAGAAGTACAGTTTCATTCCCTGTGGTGCCGTCCCTTGTCGCCTCCTCCCGGTTGTAGGCAGTGCAAAAAAAGGAAGCTGGGCTCCCCTTGCCGCTGTTTGTCAAGGTCAGCAAACTCACTCCTTGTTTCAGCAGCAGCAGTGCTCAGTCTGGTGCCAAGGGTCTGCAGCGAGCTCTGGCTTACAGAAACGTGCCTCTGTCCCCCCTCCCTAACAGACCCCTGTGCTGCTCCAGGGTTCCCCTCTCTAGGCAGGATAGGACTGGATCCTGGCATTGGTGTTCCACATGCAGTCGTGTGCATGTTAGAAAACCACTGTAAAAAGCAAAAGCGCCACGTTTGAGGGCTATGAGGTTCACTCTCTCCTTCCAGCAGGCCCAGTGTTTTGTCTTGCCTGGAAAAGCATTTCTACCCGTTATTTTTGCCATGTTCCCAGTTGTACCTGCTGCTCTTTCTTGCTGAAGGAAATATGTTGCCTCAGTCGATGAAATCATTCAGTTCATTAATGCCTAATTAAACACTATTGCCGCAGCTCAACAAAATGTCCCCCCAAACAAAAGCAGCAAAATGGACACATCGGTTTCTCTCGCTCTCCGTGGCTCACAAATGCCTAAGAAAAAGGGCTTTGCTGTGAAACAAAGCATCCAAAGGCGAAGAGCCCCACTTCTCCCAAGGCCAGCAAAAAAACCAGCCACAAAACAACCCACAGAGAAAGCCTTGGAAACATCCTAAAGGGAGATGGGCTGGGGCCACCAACGCCAAAGCTGGCTATGAGCTTCCCCAAAGTTCAGGGGTGTTTGGAGCAGCCCCATATAGAGGGAAGAGTCAGGTGTGAAGATCAGATCCAGATCTGACTTTCTCAAAAGTTTGGTGGTCTTGTGTTCTGGGGTTTTAATTCTGGCCCATCTTTAATTCGTACAGATGGATTCAATAACACAAGGTTTAAATCAAACAGGAGACCCAGGGCTAGGTTTTGAGATTTTCAAAAGCCATCGGCCAAGAGTAGCCTCCCCTCGGGAGTGTGGGATCTGCTGCTGCCTCTGCACATTGATTGGCACACTCAAAACAAGCTATACCTCAGGCTGGGCGGAACTAGGAGAGTGCAGATCAGTGTCAGCATGCTCTCCAAGAGACTGCCATGGAAGAAGATCAGCCACCAGCCCTCCTCCCTATCACAAGTCAGCGCTGCAGTGGGGAAGGGACTGTCAAGGGGAAGGAAAGAACATAGGCCTCCAAGATCCTAACGGAAGCCCAGAAACGTTCCTGGTATCATTCACTTCCTTGTCATGGCCTTTCTGATTAGACAAGTTGCAGGGGGTGGTGGAGGAAAGCGTGCAATGTTAGGCAACTATACAATGCCGGTTTAAACAAAGTCTTCGCCATTTAACCAGTGGAACTCACTGCCATAAGATGTCATTGAGGCAAATCATTTAGTAAGTTTTTCAAAACGAGGATACATTTCTAGGAATAAAGATAACCTCTGGAGTTGGACTAGCTGAGGTCAGATTGATGAGTGTTCCCTGTTCTCAGATTTCAGGCAGAATCCGATTTTCAGCTGAGGTCAGGAAGAAATCTTTCCCCACAGTACAGTATTAACGAATGAGCCGCACTCTGGGGTCTTCTGTATTTTTGGGATGCATCAAAGCTGGTCCTGGGGAGAGGAGAACAGAGCGTTCTGATGTGGTGTCCCTTTCCCTCTGCCACATGCTGAGTGGCTGAGCATGGGCTCTGACTGAAGGTGCATGACAGGAACTTTCTGGTGGGTAGGGACCAGGAGAGACGAGTATGGATGGGATTTGTGCACCACCTCGTTCCCCCACTAGTGATTCATTTTAATTTTATGCCCACATTTTTAAGGTGGTTTATTTGAAAATGCTTCTTCCCCCATATCACCCAACTTGAACACTCCCCCACCCCCACCACATTTCCAATATGCCTTTTGGCATTTCCTGGGGCAAATCATGACTGGGATGTGGTTTCACAGCCAGTTACATTGTCCTCTCGTGTTACGTTGCCTAACATGCTATGCGGATCATCCAGATGACGCATTAAGTCCAGGAAATTAATAATAGACCATTGTGTAATTAAAAACAAGCTTATAAAAGGGATTGGTGACTTTTTACACTCATGAAAGCAAGAGATTGAACAGATGAGAGGGGCTTGAACTGCAAAGTTCAGATCCAAATATTTTCAAAGTATGGGGCTGTCTCAATCCAGAATCATAGCTTGGACCATTAAAAGCATAATGAAGCCTGAATCTTGGTTCAAGTCCAGAGCTGAACTCAAAGCTCCTTTAGATAGCAGGGCCTGGCTTGGGACCATCACTGCTGAATAGCATTAGCTAAATCCAGGTACACAGTACTCATACATCAAAAGTGCTTCCTCACATTAGTACGTGATGTAGTGGATCACGTAGGAGTGCTATAGCCCTCAGCTGGACGCAATCGGTCTTGCTGAAAAGTTTGTGAATTTGTTGCCTTTTAGTGGTAAACCAACATATGATAGAGACCTTAAAGTAAGGGTATTGTCACTTGATCAAAATGTCTCTTTCCTGTTAGTAGATCTGCTGTGCGTGCGTATTCCCAGTCATCATATCTGCTTGCCTTAGTGACTAATTGTTTTAAATAACTTTTAAAAATCTGCTAGTACTGCAAAACCCCTACAGCTAAAGGACAGCGAACTAGATTCACACACAATCTGACTCACACATAATCTCCAGGATTGTTGAATTGTTTTAACTGTAAAATCTTTATCACTGGTGAGGATGCAAGAGCCAAGAAACAAACTGACCTTCAGATGATGGGTTTGCAGCAACCAGAGTTAATAAACTGAGCCGATTTGACCTACAATACAGGGACCCAGATTTTCTTAATCTGGCCCTTAATGGGTAGAGGGCAGGACCAAGCAGAAACATAATGCTGACCCCTGAGGAAACTACTTCAGCTCTTCCAGCGGAGTAATATAGAAGAAATAGCATGGGACTGGTATGTAACTGCCTGCCTGCCTGAATTAGGACAGTCATCGTTTACCGCACCTGTCTCATGGTTCTGTGTCTGCAGTTTGAGGACTCGGGGAAGGAAGGAGGCAAATCTGTTGAAGAAAGGACAGAATCTGGATTAGAGTATCATGAATATCACTATAGATGCAGCCTAGCTGATGAATGGCACTGTCACAAAAAGAAGAAACTTTAAAGAAAGGCCCTTCATGGAGAGGAAAGGTGTTTTCCTGAAGCAGCTAAAGATCTGTTTATCCAACCTGTCCTTAATGGAACCCTAGGTGCTGCTGTATTCTCAGCTGCCATCTCCCATTCACTGCCTGATTCAGGAGAGGTTCCCCTCCTCCCCCCTTAAATCATTCATGTCAAGATGCACTGACAGAATTAGGTTTAGGAATATTTACACAGGTGAGAGAGAATACTGAAAGA